CAATTTTGATCGCAGAAAGTCGGGCAAAAGACAGTTCTATAGGGAAAACAGTCAGGAATCTCATGAACTCGACGCCGTGTGCGAGAAATGAACGCAGCCAGAGCCTATTGGTTTCCCAGGTCCAAAAGCGGGGTCCAGGGGCTATAAAGCTTCTTCTCCAGGGCGCCCTTCTCTCATGGCGGCAGCCCAACTCAACTCTCAACTGTTGCAGGATGGGGATGGGTTAGGTCGGTCGCCACTCGCTAGTGAGAGCCCCCTCCCTCCCCCGCCCTCCTCGATCTCCCCTCCCTCCCGGAGGGGCTCGCTTTCCGCCCGGCTCGGTGCTGCAGCAGTGCGGTACGAGGAGGGGGGGGGGGTCGCAACGAAAACATGTTAATATTCCCTTTAGGCTACCAGAACTTGTCAAGATACCCCTGTTGGACAAAAAAGGTGGTACTTTTTAATCCCATATTGATACGCATTATTGCCGCATTTCAGACGCATTTTTGTTTGCGCATTTGGCGCTGACAGCTACCGTTGCTCCCTTCCGCTCTCTTCTCTGCAGACGATCAAGAATGCAGAGAAGCTTGGGGCCGTTCACGAAGTACGTTGGAGCGTTTTTTGACCCCCACCCCCTGAATCACACAAAACATCAGATAACATGCAGGCCTACCCCCCTCACGGACGCCGCCGCCGCGGACTTCATCATGGACATGCTGAGTTCCATGATCCTCCCGCCGCGGCCCCATCGCCGGCTGCACCACCCGCACCGCTTCTCGCCGCTGCACCCCGGGGCGGACGCCGACGCGCCCCAGCTGGCCAGGAAGGCCCGGCAGCACGACGACGCGGTGGCCGCCTAGCCCGCGCAGGCCGCGCAGGCCCAGGTCGCCGCCCAGACCCAAGTCGCCGCCCACGGGCCGTACCCGCACCACCACCCGCACCTGCCGCCGGCCATGGAGGACCTCATCCTCAAGATCGGAGAGACGGAGGCCGAGAAGGCCGAGCGCGAGCAGAGGGCGGTTCAGAGGATGATCCAGGTCGTCAACGTCCTCGGCAGCTTGCAGAACTTCTTGTCCGGCAGGGCGAAGACTATCGGCTGAGCAAAATAGTAGACGAGGAAGAGGGGGAGAAACTGATGCGATAGTGAACCATTTGTGATTACTAGTCGTCTGAAACTAAATATAAAGCAGCTGGGTGCTTTAAAATGTATTTGTATTGACGAACATGAGATGTTTAACAGTGTCACTGTGTAGAGTTGTAAATAAATATTTTTTTAATGACCTCTCCCTCTTAATTGCCATACACGCGACTTAAATTTAGAACGTCTACTCAAATACGTAGTAGCAATACTCACACAATAAAAAGGACCTCAATCTTGACCTTAAAACCAACACATCGTATGCAGTACGGCCAGAATAATAATCTAGACAGTTACCGACCGTAGGAGAAAGCAAGGGAGTGTAGTCTCTTGGAAGAAGCATCTGCCATCTCTGCCATATAACC